GACCCAAGGACTCCAACTTCCCTTCCAAAACGTGTTAGAACACAAGCAGGTGATTTTTAGGCAATTATTTAAACAAAATCAGATCAATAGCTGTGCCAAGACTGCCCTCTAGAGGATTTTTCATGCATGTGGTTCAAAAATATACAGAGAGACTTACTTGTAACTGGAAGTTCTTTGTGAGAGGTGGCCCACTAACCTTTTCCATTTAGGTGTGGATTTTTTCCATCCATGTATGGAATACAGTGTTACGTGTACCGAGGCATGTGCACCAATAGAATCACAAAAGCTAGCTGTGGGCGCTCTGTTAATCAGCTGGGAAGCATTTAAATCTCTCCTGAGTGACCGCACAAGTGCACAGCTTACAGAGAACTCTGCCCATATGAACTGCACAAATATCCAGCTCTGGAGATTCTAACCAGCAGCATCCACCGGCCTGCACATGCGCAGTAGTTCTCCTCATGCTCCAGATTAAGGATATAAAAGGCCATACAGGAAAAACTGCTCTGCAGCGCCTCTTCTTACAAATCCAAAAGATCCAAAGGGACCAAGTGTGGCTACTGGACTATAGAAAGAGCCCACATGCCTCAAAAGAACTTCCAGTTATGTATTTCCAGCAATGGCACGTCATGCAGTGATCCTGTAGAGGCAGCTTGTGCTCCGGTGCCCTTACCCTGTCAGGTGGAGGAGATGTGCCAATTGGTAGCATACAATGAGGCACCCACACACGCATTTGGAGATCCTATTAGAAGTCAGTATAGGAGACTGATAGATTTGAGCCTCGGCAAGTAGAATGCTAATGTAACACCGACACTTGGAACTAAACCTGGGACCTCTGGAGCTTAGTGCATGAGCTGCTACAAGTTGAGATAAAAGCTAAGGCTGTAGAGAAAACTCATTTTCATTGTAAGTGGCCTCAGTGCCAATGCATGAGACAGTACCCACTAAGGCATGTCTGATGTTGAGGGATTGAAGTTTCCTTAACAGAGGTATGGCATTTCAGAAGGAAAACAGGTTAAGTGGATGGCTTGGTTGACATGAAATTCCAAAATAGCTAGGGGAGGGGATATTAGGAGGCACTCAAAGACAGACCTTTTTTCTTATGAAAAACAGTATACAGTGGCTCTGCCATGAGAGCTCTCATCTTGCCCACCCTTCTGGTTTAGGTAACAGCCACTAAGAATGTGACCTTCACAGAGAGGTGAAACATGGAACATGTAGCCAGAGATTCAAATGGCAACCCAGAGAGCGCTGATAGTACAAGAATGTGTAGCAAACAGTTCTGTTCCTGCCTTAACATTAACAACACACAAACAGCCTGGTTAATGCATCTTTACCAACAGCACTAGGGTGTTCCATTCTGCTAGTCAGGTACACTCAGGCACATTACACACTGCATAAGGCTACATTTTAGCTACATGGCTACACACGGGCAGCAGAGACAGATCTTGAATCTCAGGACTTTAAAGCACAGTTCCAGACCACAGAGGAGGAGCTCCCAATATGGAGTGGAAAAGCCCTAACTATACCAATAACTATGCTAGTATAAACTATAACCTACTTACAAATGTATAAGGATAAAAGCTGGAGAAATACGTGGACACAGCAATTCCAACTCAGGCCATGTGGTGGTTAGAAGAAACTGGAGAGGAGTCAGCCAACATTATTTTTTATGTCCTAGGTCTGGTGCACAAGGTGAGCAACAGCACATATGTGGGCCAGCCAGCACTGCACTGCGTGTTAGAATTTCTTGACTTGGACGGTTGGTGCACATGCACACCCACATGTGAAATACACACAGAGACCAGCAACCAAAGAAGAATTTCTGCATACATCCTGGTTAATGATTTTCAGTTGAAAACGAGGACAGATTTATTTTTGTGCACTGTGTTACACTGTTGATCCTTTCTGTTTCCTACCTTGCATAGTGCATTCACCAACATAATTCACTGGGAAGGGAAGTAGAAAATGGGTCTTCATCTGACATGGCTGAAAGGTAGGCTCCTGAGAGAAAATGGCATCTGGGTTAATTAACATGGTAGTTTCAAGGAGATTTCAAGGAGCTACAACAATCCATTTATTTGAGAATATTAACACCATTGCATATTTCTCAAGAAGAGCCCATGACTCTGAAACATTCATCCTAGCACTCACTCTGTTACAAAAACAATAAAATTCTGCACATTCTTCCTTGTAATACTATTATCAGACATAATGGAATTTTCCTGGTCTACTACTGCACAGGAATGCTGTACGTATACTACCTCAGCATCACACTAAAAATTCTCAGTTATGCAGTGCCTGTACCTTACTGGGGAGTTCTGAAGTCATTGCAGAGAGGCGAGGGTTATGCAAATTAGTTCTACCCATTCCTCCCACCTAACTTCAGATATTCAATTACCACAAAAATAAAATAAATTAGTTTTACACAGTCGTCTAGTAAAAGTAAGTCATCGTGGCAAAGCAGAGCCAAAAAAGAAGCATTAAGAAGTCTCATCTTAGACTGCATGAATGGTGAAGCAAGGGTCAGGTTTCACTGCCAGAAATTCCAAGGATAGTATTAAATGAGTGCAGGATGAGAAGGTGTCATGTATGTCAGTTAAGCCCAAGTTACTAGAGCAGGGACGGGGAATCTTTTTTGGGTCAGGGGTCACTGACCCACAGAAAAATCAGTTGGGGGCCACACAAGTAAAAAACTCACTGTAGCCCCTGAGAAGGAGAAAGACACTCCCCACTTTCCCCTCACACACCAGAGCCGAGGGGAGCCCCAAATACATAATTTTGTGTGCTCCAGCCCTGCAGAGGGTGGTAGCAGGGCTGAAGTGCTAGCACAGGCTCCTCAAGGTTGGGAGGTGGGGAGCTCTGAGCCTTGGGGCCAGATCCAGACAAGCCAGAAGCCACATACAGCCCCCTGGCCTGAGGTTCCCCACCCCTGAACTAGTGAGTACTGATCATGGCAATAACTATAAAAAGGGCCAACAAGATCAGTAATATGAATACACAAGTCAAATAGTACTTACATTAATTAGTTTCCTTGTGATTTGTGAACAATTAAGCCTTTCCTTTCCAACAAGTATGGGCTCTGAGGACTTCTACAAATATAGGACTTGTATTAAAGACAGTTTAAAAAGTAAGAACAAGGAATATTACAGAAACTCCTGCTTTCCCCCTTAGGGACATACGAGTACCTTTTGTCCTCCTTTCCCCACAGGCAACAAATCAAGGTAATCTGTTTACTTCTTTCTCCTTGCACTTATGAGGAAACACTACAATGGATTTCATCCCATCAGTAACAGGGCAATAGCTGTGCCAAATGATAATCTGAAATTCTTAAGGGCTGTATTGGCAGACTTTAGACACTGCCTGCATGCTTTTCAATTCACTTTTTTGTGCAGAGGCCCAAGAGATTTGCCAAGTTACTCCTCTGTTTGATGTAACCTTAAAGCTCATTTCAGTTATCTTATTTGGTTCATGGTCATATTAGAATTTGCTCCACCTGAGTATTACTTCCCTAGGGCTACGTCTAGACTACAGGCTTCTTTCAGAAAAAGCGTTTTTCAGAAGAAATCTTCCAATAAAACTTCTTCCGCAAGAGCGCGTCCACACTGCAAAAGTGCATCGAAAAAGCGATCTGTTTTTTCGAAGGAGAGCGTCCAGACTGAATGGAGGCTCTTGTGCATATAAGCTGTAATTGCTATGGACGGAATGGCCACCAGGGCACCTGTGCTTTTTCTTCTTTCCTGTTCTTCCGAAAGAACTCCCTCTTCCCTGTCCACACACGCCTTTTTGCAAAAGAGCTCTTTCGCAAAAAGGCTTCTGCCTCATAGAATGAGGATTACCAAAAGCCAGAAAAACCCCTCTGTTCTTTTAGTTTTATTGCAGAAAAACACAATTGCAGTGTGGACGTTCCTCAGGTTTTGTCAGAAAAATGGCCGTTTTTCCAACAAAACTCTGTAGTGTAGACATACCCAAGGGCTACATTAAAATAAGGGATAAGGGATCTTTTGGAAAAGGCTTCATTTTCCGAAAGATCCGCATCTAGACTGGGGCTTTTTTCCAGCAAAGCTCCGTGCCGAAAAAAAGCGGCAGCCATTTTTATGCTAACGAAGCGGGGGAGATTTAAATCCCCGCTTCATTAGCAATTGCGATACGTCTAATTTGCATCCCTTTTACAAAAAAGGGATGCAATCTAGACGTAGCCTAGGTGTCCTAGTCCAGGAAGGAGTTGCTCTCCAGCTAAATGACTTTTGGAGGAGTGGCATGGCACAAGATATTTGTCTCTGGAAGGCATCTAAAAATGGAGCTCAGCTAAAGAAAACTGGTAGGACTCATGACAGAATGGAAAAAAATCCCTCCTCCCCAAAACTTGAAACAGCAATCAGGGTGTAGTGTACAAGTCCCAACAGTTGAAATCAGTTCAACCCCCACCAAATCAACCAAAACCAATCCTTCCACTGAAGCCACACAGAGTTTACACATTCGCCTAGAGATGTGCCCAAAAAAATAAAGAGAGAGAAAGCTGCCATGTTCAGGGGGTAAAAGGAAGCTACTGTATTAGAGTTTCCCTAAAATCTCCACTCACCCCTTAAACAGATAAATAGCTAGTGGCCCAGCAGAGTGACATTCAACCCAGAAAATATTTACACCTGATGGAACTATACATTATTTTCATCAGCACAGAGTTGAACAATAACTAAACAGTAAGAAGTGCACATAAGCTGGGCAAATTGTCACTGTGCATACTGAAGGAACTAACTTCTCTTTGAGAAGTCACAAGCCTCTTTATTCTGCCCATACAAGTTCAGCAAACTGTTAGCCTTCCATTCGCATGCTATGCAGCAATAGTCAGGCTGCTAGCAATCTTACTCAGTATAGTAACTCAAAAATATTGAGTAACAATACATTTTACTCACAAATCAAATTGTTTTGCATACCTCAATCACATGGGGGCGAACAGGTTTTCTTTCTTTTTTACTTCTAGTGATGCTCTTTAAAAAGTGTTCTACTTCTTTAGATGCTTGTGACATCTGCTGAGGTGTAGCATTCACTGAACATCTGTTTAAAAAAAATGCCCTTACATAGTAGCATGCGTCTTACAGTTTTACAACCTTTTACATTTCAATTACTTCCTATACTTCCACACTTTTTTAAAGCAATATCTTAGAAGATCTCTGTGCCAGCAATCGTGATGATAAACACAAATTACAGCTGTAAATAAGGAACGTATTGACAATTCTGACTGCAATATACCACCAGGGCACTGCCATGAGAAAATCCCTCTGGGAATTCTCAGTTTTGTCCCCAAGACAGTGAATCAAAACTTGTGCAACAGTGTCAGACTTTGCTCTTTATAGCAGTTGACCACCTGGCATTACTGTCTTAAAGAGTAAACTATGTCTTAAAGAGTAAACTATGCTTAAGCGTTGACCACCTGGCATTACTGTCTTAAAGAGATAGGTAAACTATGCTTAAGTTTTAAAAGGTAATCTCTACACACCACTATTACCAATTCTTTCTTTACAACTAGATCTTGTTATAAATTCTTGCATTTAATAAAAAAACTGTACCTAGGTTATTTCCCTGCCCCCAAATAAATCATGGTACAATATTCCTGACATGACACTAAATCGTGTCAAACCAATCTGATAGCTTTCTTTGATAGGATAACAAGTCTTGTGGATAAAGGAGAAGCGGTGGATGTGGTATACCTAGACTTCAGTAAGGCGTTTGATACGGTCTCGCATGATATTCTTATCAATAAACTTGGCAAATACAACTTAGATGGGGCTACTATAAGGTGGGTGCATAACTGACTGGATAACCGTACTCAGAGAGTAGTTATTAATGGTTCACAATCCTGCTGGAAAGCTATAACAAGTGGGGTTCCGCAGGGGTCTGTTTTGGGACCTGCTCTGTTCAATATCTTCATCAACGATTTAGATATTGGCATAGAAAGTACGCTTATTAAGTTTGCAGATGATACCAAACTGGGAGGGGTCACAACTGCTCTGGAGGATAGGGTCATAATTCAAAATGATCTGGACAAATTGGAGAAATGGTCCGAGGTAAACAGGATGAAGTTTAATAAAGACAAATGTAAAGTGCTCCACTTAGGAAGGAACAATCAGTTTCACACATACAGAATGGGAAACGACTATCTAGGAAGGAGTACGACAGAAAGGGACCTAGGGGTTATAGTGGACCACAAGCTGAATATGAGTCAGCAGTGTGATGTTGTTGCAAAAAAAGCAAACATGATTCTGGGATGCATTAACAGGTGTGTTGTGAGCAAGACACGAGAAGTCATTCTTTCGCTCTACTCTGCACTGGTTAGGCCTCAGTTGGAGTATTGTGTCCAGTTCTGGGCACTACATTTCAAGAAAGATGTGGAGAACTTGGAGAGGGTCCAGAGAAGAGCAACAAGAATGATTAAAGGTCTAGAGAACATGACCTATGAAGAAAGGCTGAAAGAATTGGGTTTGTTTAGTTTAGAAAAGAGAAGCCTGGGGGGGCTGGGGGGGAGACATGATAGCCATGTTCAGGTATCTAAAAGGGTGTCATAAGGAGGAGGGAGAAAACTTGTTCATCTTGGCCTCTGAGGATAGAACTAGCAGCAATGGGCTTAAACTGCAGCAAGGGAGGTTTAGGTTGGACATTAGGAAAAAGTTCCTAACTGTCAGGATAGTCAAACACTGGAATAAATTGCCAGGGAAATTGTGGAATCCCCATCTCTGGAGATGTTTAAGAGTAGGTTAGATAAATGTCTATCAGGGATGGTCTAGACAGTATTTGGTCCTGCCATCGGGGCAGGGGACTGGACTCGATAACCTCTCGAGGTCCCTTCCAGTCCTAGTATTCTATGATTCTGCAAATTAACACATTCAGAAGCTTATTACTTCCTGAGATGGAGGCGTCTGTGCTGCACTGGCCCTTTAACGGTTAAAAACCAGCCCTGGGAGAAGGCTGAGAGAGCATAGCACAGGGCTGCTCAACTTTGGAAGCCCTGGGGGTCACAGTGATACTCACAGCACATGCTGAGAGCTGCAACTTAAGTGTGGTTGCATTCATATGCAAATATATTCAAATATTTGCAAATAGCTTCTTTCAAACTGACGGGCATGAATACAAAGGTTAAGGCAAGACTATACAACATGCAGGCCCCATTTAAGTCAGTTCTGCTGATATTAATAAAATGTAATATTTACCCAATTTCCACCCATATGGCAGCACTTTTAATGAGAAATGACAGTGCAGGAATGTAGCTACTAAAACGCATATCAACAGAAGACCATTATACTGACTCGCCATTATGGAGCATGTTCCCAGTGGAGGCCATGTTCAAAGGATCCCACCTGTGGGCTGCGCATTGAGCCCTTTGTAAACCCAAACAACACCACAGGCTGCATGTTGAGTACCCCTGGCATAGCCTGTAGCTGAGGCAGATAAAGCCAAATAGGGCCCAGCTGGGGCTGTATAAATAAGGGCTCCTGGAGGGAAGGAGAAGACACCCTCTTACTCAAGCTTGGGGGTAGGAGGGACCTGACTACCAGGGACGCTGGAGGCTTCCTGAGACAAAGCAGGGCTGGGAAGAGGCAGGAAGACATGACAACTTTTGAAACTGTAGTGCCTGAGATCAAGCAGCTTCACTTCAGCATTTCACTCATCTTTCTCACTACTTTACATTTAAGTGGATTCCAAGACCTCACTATTTCCCCTAAAAACAACTAGTCCTGTGGCACCATAGGGAATGAACTTTGGTGGGCACAACCCACTTCTTCAGATGATGTTATATATATTAGTCTCCAAAGTGCTACAGGACTACTCATTGTTTTTAAAGTTAGATACTATCACGTCTATCCCTCAGACTATTTCCCTTAAGAGGCAGGAACATCTCAAACCAGCATTACATGAGATATTTATAGGACACAAAGATTTTTCTCTGACTCTTAATAGAAAAGGAACCCCAACAAGATCTCACCTCATGTTGTCACTGTTTAATAAATATTTCTTAATACGTGGTAGTTTGCGTAGTACTGGTTTAATGTCAGACATTTCTGCAATTCGCTTCATCAGTTTGACCTGAAAAGGAGGGAGGAAATAATCAGCAAATGTGAAGGTACTACATACATCAGCATAAATAAGCATAGCATAACATAAGAGTTTGGTATCAGTTAAATAAAACACTTCTCCCTTTACCTGATCCATGCCATTGTACATTTCTTGCAACTCTCCAGCAGATGTAAGTGTTTTGCTAGCTCTCACAGATGCATATATATGCCCAGAATCAGGAATTCCATTTGACAGCTCTTGTGCAATCATCTTAACCAGTACTCTAAAATGCTCCTCTTCTTCAAAGTGTGGGCTACATTGGAAAGAAAGGAAACAACACTTACAGGCTACAATACTACACGTTCATTAAAAAGAAAAAGAAACAGACAAAGAAACAACAGAGAAAAATGCAAGAATTTTCCAGGTCTCATGCAGAAATGCTCTAATCTTAGGGTGATAATACTTCCCTATGCTGAATACAGGACACCTGGTAAAATTACCTGTACTTAAGCAAGTTCAATGGCAATCAGATGTATGCACTTCTAACATTCAAAATAACATCAAGTTGACTAAGTCCATATTAAAAAGTAGTTGGAGCCTTTTTATTTACCTTATCTTCAAGGCTGTAGGGTTCACATGGAGAGGTGACAGACACAGGTAGAGGTTACACATGCACACACTCCTGTATCCCTCTCTCATACAAGGAGAGGGAGGATGTGACAGACTGACCTGATGCTCCCTACCTGGGCCTCCAGGACATATCTGCCTCTCCTGGTACCTGGCACTACATCTTCCCAAGGCAGCACATAGGGGTGAAATACAGGGTCACATACCTACCCTCCACAGATTTCTGCCAGGATTCACAGCAGATTGTGGCCAGTAACAGCCTTTCAGCACTGTGTGGAAGTGAAGGGAAAGGAGCTGCTTCCAGCTGCAAGGGAGAAGGTGAGGAGAAGGGATGACCCTGGCCCATGTCTTTACAGAGCTCATCTCTTCCTCCCCCAGTTCCCCAGTGCTTGGAAGCAGCTTGTCCTTTCTTGCCTGCAGAGTGTAGAAAGGCAGCTCAACCTCCAGACTGCTGGTGGCCAGTGACATAATCCAGCTGCCTCCTATCCCCTGGCTACAGTATAAGCAGGAAAAGGTGAAGCCCTAAAGATTTACTGTGCACCAGGTCCCAGAGAACCTGACTGCAGGGGCTTCAGCAAACCCAGTCAGAGGTGGCTCAGCAGGGGGAACAAAGGGTGCTAATCTCCTGCCTGGGAGCTGCTGTGAAGAGCTTGCATGTTTGGGACACAGACAAGATGGAAACTGCTCCCCCCCCACCACACTCTCTAGAGCTGAGGTGAGGGGAGAAGAGGCTTCCCCAGGCTAGTGCTGTGTGGGACTTTGGCACATACAGGGCTTAGCTCCTCATGGCCAATGCCCCAGGCCAGGGTGTCTTGGACTTTCCCGAGGCTCCAGCCTAGCCAGAGGCAGTGGGGGAAGCAACCTGCCAGCCAGGCTGTTGTTGAGCTGAGCACTCTGACCAGGGGCTGGTTCTCTGCACAGTACTTGGAATGGGACATGCTCCAGTAGGGGGGATAGGGAGGAGCAGGGGGGACCAAAGGAGTATGGGGCAAAACAAGGAGAGGACAGTGAGAGGGGGTACATGGAAATGGCAGATGGGTGCAGCAGAGACAACACGTAACTGGTCAATGTCTGGTATCGGCACACACCAGACTCCTCAGCTTGTAGTGCGCAGCCAGTGCTGAATGTAAAGGGGATGGCAGGGAAAGTTCTGTTGACCAAGAGGTGGGATGTGTGCTGCATCTTCATCTGGCCACCTGCCTTGCACACCCACCCTCATCGCCAGCCACTGCCCGCACCACCATCTATTGCTGGTCGGTGGACAGCTGGTGAGCAGGGATCTAGCCAGCACCAGTACCCTCCATTACTGATCAAGTCAGGACACTGCAGAAAGGCTTAAATACGGGACTTAAAAATATGGGACTGGATCTAGACTACTTTAAAATACTGAATGGTTCATTATTGTAATTTCTAAAACTAGCCTTCATCCGTACAGCTAATATGGTTTTTATAGAAAGAAGAATATTTTGATTTAGAGCATGCTGAAATTAAATTATGCAAAGCCAGAATTGATTAACAAAGTAGGAACTCTTTTTTTTTTTTGAGGGACAGGAGAAGGTAGAAGAGGGACTAAAAACATATGAAAAGCCAATACACTACTTGTTAAAGATTTCACTCCATAAGTGCATCATGTCTGGCAGATTTCTATCCAGGCACAGAGATGAAAAGAGCACACCCTAAAGGAAAAATGAAGATACTTCACACACAGGATAAACCAATAGAAGACAACTGAAATAAAAGGCCACAGAAACATGATGCAGCATTTTATGAAAGTGATTCTACAGTATCAGCTTAATGGCCTATCACATGCAGACAGCCTCACTGCTAAAACTGCAGGAAAGACAAGAAGTGTAGTTACATAGGTCTACATGAATAGTACCTTCCTTTCTATGGGGCAAACCCTGCCTCATGTGTCAGTGAAAGCCAGCTTCTGTGTCCCTATGTCAGCCTATCACATTCAGTGGGTGGTTAAATGTGGCCTAGAAGGAGGACAGTGGAACTCTAGATCAAAGTTGTTCAGAGGGTAGAAAGCAAATGAGTGCCTAATCCCTGCCCCATGCTAGGACTTCCTCAATCAACTCAGTTAAGATTTTTCTTAATGTTGATCTTCTGTGGCCCCCCCTTCTTTTGCTGTAACTTCCGTGCAGTAGTTACTGCCCACAGTACATGGGGAGAGGAGTATGGGTATGTCTACACTACCACCCTAGTTCGAACTAGGGTGGTAATGTAGGCAACCGGAGTTGCAAATGAAGCCCAGGATTTGAATTTGCATTTGCATCTCGCTAGTGCGGACTCTGTGCCGCGCGGCTACACGCGGCACGGACTAGGTAGTTCGGACTAGGCTTCCTATTTCACGAGGAGTAACGGTAGTTCGGAATAGGAAGCCTAGTCCGAACTACCTAGTCCGTGCCGCGTGTAGCCGCGCGGCACAGAGTCCGCACTAGCGAGATGCAAATGCAAATTCAAATCCTGGGCTTCATTTGCAACTCCGGTTGCCTACATTACCACCCTAGTTCGAACTAGGGTGGTAGTGTAGACATACCCATACTCCTCTCCCCATGTACTGTGGGCAGTAACTACTGCACGGAAGTTACAGCAAAAGAAGGGGGGGCCACAGAAGATCAACATTAAGAAAAATCTTAACTGAGTTGATTGAGGAAGTCCTAGCATGTCTGATCTCAATGAGCTTGAATATATTGAATATTCTTTAACTATACATTACTACTGTGCTACATATGTAGGTTTGGTAGAGTTATCTTTTTACTATTTTATAATTTCAATAGAAAATATAAAGCTCTATTTTTAAAGCATTTTAAAATGTTTACCGGTTTAAATTGTCAGAGTAGCAGATTTCATGGGAGGAAATTAGGCAATTTTCATGACAGTAAACACTGAAAATCAATTACTTAAAACTTTAACCAGCGTAACACCATTTCTGATTATGTGTCAAAATATAAAGAAAATATCCTCATATCAAGCTCTAATAAGTTCTCAAACAGCATTTTTCTTACTTTGCCTCCATAAAATTCTATCCTCATTGATGGAAATTAATTTTGTCTGTGTGTATACAGTAAAATAATGCTTTCTGATAAAAATCTAATCCTTCCAATTTTATACATATGTCATGCCATTTTGTCATGAAAGAACTGAAAAAGGTAAACATCTTTTCTTAGTTTTTTTTTTATCTACTTGAATACTGTGGTAAGAGATATTATAAAGCAATCTGAAGATAAAGAGTCATGAAAAAAGGTTATCTTTGGGATAAAGGTAAGTTATCATGATGATGAAATTTATGTCATGTCAACAAAAGCTCATCTCTACACCAAATTTTCAGCACAACATGTTCTGAAATAAAGTCCTCAACATTGACTGCTTTATGAAGAAACCTTACTCGATCCTTAACTACAATGTTGTCAGTGTAATGCAACAGCATATATTATGTTATGATTTACCTGTTCATACGCATCCAGGTGGGAATCATCAGCAATGATATGTGGGCTGGCAGACATGCCACCTGTTTTTAGTTCTATTTGTTGGGCTTGTTCTCTGTAACCAAGGGTTCCACAGCCCATTCTATAAAAAAAAGAAAAACAAAAAAGAAGTAGTTCTATTTCCTCTGAGTTCAAACAATATAGTAAAACCAGAAACGATCCAAATTGTCCAGTACAAATACACAATGTAACTTCAAAGCACAAGTAATCTGATGCATTACCTAATAGATAGGGGGAGTTATTAATAAAGACACTAGGGTTTTTTAAATGTTAGCAAATACCCAATATATGGTATTAAAGAAAAAATTAAAATACAAAAGAGTCTATTAAAATGTATTTGATAAAGTAGTTTACAAGCTTGCTAGCTAACTATATCGGACTCTGCCCCATAATAAAAATTATTTGCACTATTGAAACATCACTGAAATTACCAGAAAACAGAAGTAAGATGGAACACAATAATTCTAGGAAGTGTTCAATATTAATGTTATTTCCATGTATTGCAATACATCATATCAACTTCAAGCACACTAATTATCTTACTTAGTAATGACATTGCAGAAGAGTGGCACGTATGGTTTGAGCTCCTCTGGAAGGGTGTTCAAGCTGGAAACAGCTCTGAAATATACCATCCCATTGGTCGGCTGAGCACAGTACTGGACAGGGATTTCATCAGCTATGAATAAGAGGAAAAACTTTGAGAACATGATAGCTATGACATTGGCCAAAATACTTTATAATAGAGCTATTTTTGACACTACAAAAAGTAATAGGAAGCCACATCCTGTTTTAATTGCAGGCATTGTGATGTGAGTCCCAGACAGATTTATGAGTTTTCTAGGCCATTATACAGTTATGTTCAGTCAGTAGAAATCACCTTCAAAATTATCAGACTGAGAAAGGTTATTAAATATTTAAATTTTAGACTCAGAAAAGGATAAGGTGGGATGTAGTAATCTCTTTCATTAAACCAACTTCTGCTGGTGAGAGAGAACCTTTTGATTTACACAGAGCTCTTTTTCAGGTTTGTGTAGCTCAAAAGCTCGTGTCTCTCACAAAAATAAGTTGGCCTAATAAAAGATATCTCACCCACCTTGTCTCTGACATCGCAGGACTGACACAATTACAACAATACTTCATACAAGAATAAGAAAGAGCAAACAACTGAAAGGCAAACTGTTTTGAAAAATGCTAAAGGAATATTTAGTCCTGTTGAAGCAGTCCCTTTCCTCCTTTCCACATCTCAAATATGGAAGAGAATAGCTGTGATTCTTTCATTGTAAACAAAACCAGTAGGAAGCACAAATATATTGTAGTTATTAATGTGGAGACAACAGCTGTGCTGATCTGTGGGAAAGGAGGGTTATTGTTTGGAGTACAAGAGAAGAGAAGGAGAAAAAGAAGGAAACAATCTTTAAAAAAATTGACAGAAAAAAAGCGATTTAGAGACCCATTTCCTTTTGCTTTTTTTTTCCTCTCCCTTTTTTAAAAATAAACTGGGGAAAGGGGTTGCTTCTACTGAAATGAGAGAGAAGCTAAGGTGGCAGCTTTATTAATGACAAACATTTGAGTACAGGCAAGAGACACAAAAGATCTGTGTGAGCCAAGGTAGAGAAATACATACACGAAGAAGTATGCTTACTAAGGAACAATATGTAACATGATTGCACAAGTTAATATATCTATCGAAGTTCAGGGAAGAGCATGACTGAGACAAACTTGAACATTTCTGAACTCTGATTGCCTGAGGTAACAAAATGTTTGTATTTTTGTACACTTTTGTTTAAGAATCAACAGCTGCCATGCTCTTCTGCAACTAGAAATTTTATCCTTCACCATTTTCTTAGAAGCACATGTGTTTTACTTTATTACAATTAATTATGCTGATCCTGTTGTTCAAGTGTTATCTAATTATTATAATGTATTACCACAATAAAATTATGCACTGGTCTCATTATGGCATTTAAGTTTTCAAAGAAATACCTTTCCATTTCTCACCAGGGAAATGGGTACATTATGGAATTCTCATCAGTGATGATATTTACTGGATGGCCAATTAGTTTTTACAGTCTGTACAGGTTCCTGTAATAACTGGGAAACTATATATACTTGCCAACAAGCAGCACCACAAGAACAGCTATTCAGTGAACACCTGTTTGTTTTTCCTCTATTTAATTTAGTGATTTCAGTCTGATGGATGTTTCTTACCACTTTTAGTAGCTCAAGTAGCAGATTCTGTTCTACAGCCTATGCTAACAGATGGCATATGTACTTTAAAATATTATACAATTCAAATCACTTTCAGAATTTTGCTACAGTTCTACAATTAACACAAGTAATCTATAATTACTTGTTCTCCATCAATTTACAGAACAGTTCTTGGATCAGCTAGGAAGAGGTACAGTATTTTTTATACTTCAAGTATTGCTACCACCTTAGGGTGTGTCTACACAGCAAAGCTATTTTGGAATAACAGCTGTTATTCCGAAATAACTATGCGAGAGTCTACACAGCAATTCCATTATTTTGAAGTAATTTCGAAATAATGGACAGCTTATTCCGACTTCTGTAAACTTATTCTACGAAGAACAATGCCTATTCTGAAAAAGCTATTTCGAAATAAGGCATGTGTAGACGTTCCACTTCTGCTATTTCGAAATAGCCCCTCACCTGGGCCATTCTAAGTTATTCCTTCTGGGGCTCCAAATTATGATAGCAGGTCTACATTAGGGAAGCCTTCCTTGGACTAATTTTGAGGCTTCCCTGCAGTGGTATAGACGTACTATTTCAAAATAAGCTATTTCAAAATAACTATTCTGGAATAGCTTATTCCAAAATAACTGTGGAGTACAGACGTAGCTTTAGAGCAACATGGTTCAGACTTAGGCTTTTATTCTATACCCCAATATGCTGGCAAGTATATGAAGCCATTTCATTTCCCATTCACACTCTACTCTCAAAGCAACAGTCCATTAAATTATTCCTTAATTTTACAGAAGATTTAAGTATACTAACCTTCAAATGCCATCTCCAGTTCAGTGAATGGGATTGTGGACTCAATGTCAGATACTTTTAGAGCTGGGAGACAGGAGGTATCCTGAGGTTTGCTCTGAAGATCAATTAACTCCAAACCTAATAAATTAGAATAGCAGGACTAATGCTTAAAGATTTCTAATACAAATTATCAAAAACCCGTGAAATTATGTAGCTTCCCAGGGGGAAGGGAATGCATTTCTGTGGTATAAGAGTTTGATATTTCCAATTTCCAACAGCTCCCTTAAACAATTACATAGTTACTACATTTTATTGACATGCACATCAAGAGGCATAATACAAAATGCATTTCCCCAGTAATAATAATAGTGTTTCTAGCTCCATCCTTTTTAATGACAGCTCATTAGACACCCACCAGGCAGATGTCAGAAAGCCTTTAATAGCAAGCTCCATGGACAACACACAGCTTTGAGGTGAAAAGCTCAACCACCACCTGGAATCCTCCCCAGAGTGCTCTCTCTGGACCTTTCTACATGGTATGTGGCTAAATCTGTTAGTCAATTGGAAAATCTCAACCTCTATCTTTTGTATCTGCTCCTGGCTGCTTTAAAAAAACAAATCCAAAGACGACAACTTCAAGTTCACCTTATAATATAGGCAACCTCCCCCAGCTGCTAGAAACCTGCTCTCCTTTACCCATGTTCAGAACCTCCAGGCTACTTTACAGTAGTAGCTCAGCTTCTTTACTCCTCTAGATTTTGTTTCTCTTCCTTGGGAACACTTACTAGCCTGCCTTACTGCTGTTTATAGTTTTCCTAAGCACAATGAGTGTAATTGACATGATGACTTTATGTTTCACTGTTGCCCATAGATTCCAAGTTCTGCTAATCTTACTCAGGGGCTGTCTATGTAAGTGACAATATTAGAGAAACTACAGTCTGCAGGCTGAAAAATCCATCTATGTATCAGTTCTCATTATAGAATTCCCCCTCTCCACCAATCGTTTTAATTTTTTAAGTGAAAAGTACTCTACATCATGGAATATACTGGTGACGTCTATAACCAGGGCTCGACAAATCAGTGAATCTACTTGCCTGTGGCGAGTAGATTTCAGCTAGTCGCCCCTTTTACAGGCAGCATGCGCATGCACAATGCAAGTCTGGCACATGTGCAGTGCGGGGCTGGCAAGTAGATTTCGCTGCAGTTTGTTAAGCCCTGTCTATAACTGTACATTTGTCTTTTGCAAGTATATATGAGCACACGCAGATTATTTAAAAAAAAAAAAATCAAGAGTAGTGTCCCCAACTTCCAAAACATATGTTGATGGACTTCTGGTATATATCAAACAATTGTACATATTCTGTAAGTAACAAAATACCTATCAGAACTGAAAAGTATTACCAGAGGCTAACCTTTTTCATATGTTTGTTTCTTCTCCTTTTCTGAAAGATCATTGACCTTCTGTTTCAGTTTTTCTGCTTCCAGTTTTGCTTGTTTTTCATAGTAGCTTTCATCTGGACTCATTGACAGAGTCAGTCTATGTAGATTATCCTGTACAAATACATTCCCATAATAAAATATTAAGTTTAAGGACTGCTTCTTCCCTTTTGTGTTCAGATTCCTAGATTTATTGCCATTACCATGCAGATATACTTAGCAGGGATGTTAGTAGTTGACTACTCAACTACCCAATAAGTATAAGCTTTTCCAGTAGTCAAGTGAAGCGCTCAGCCTCCCCTTCCCCACTTGCCTCTGTATGAGGGCGTGCTCCAAGGCTTTGCTCCCCGTCTCCCTGCAAACCAGGGAGACCTGGAGCAAAGCCGCGGAGCC